CTTCCAATTGTTTCACATGAGTGACAAGTACAGATACTTAGAAACACACCCCTAATAGAGGTCTGCAACTTTTTGGAAGACCTAATTAAACATTTAGGTGTTTTCCCAGGTTGCCATTCAGAGCCGAGATTCCCTGAACTTTGTGATTGTACTTTGGTTGGGTATTTTTTTTTTAAGAATTATTTAATTAATTGAAAGACAGAGTTACAGAGAGAAGTAGAGACAGAGAGAGAGAGAGGTCTTCCATTCCGTTGGTTCACTCCCTAAATGACCACAATGGCCAGAGCTGAGCTGATCCAAAGCCAGGAGCCAGGAGCTTCTTCCAGGTCTCCCACGTGGGCACAGGGACCCAAGGATTTGGGCCATCTTCTACTGCTTTCCCAGGCCTTAGCAGAGAGCTGGATGGGAAGAGGAGCAGCCCGGACTCAAACCGGTGCCCATATAGGATGCTGGCACTGCAGGCTAGGGCTTTAACCCACTGTGCCACAGCACCAGCCCCTGGTTGAATATTTCAATTCCTCACTTTCAGAGTGGAGGGCAGTGTACCAGGATAAATGACATAGGTGCCCCGCTGTACTGAGACTCTGTAAAGTGACTTGTTCCAAAGCAGACAAAAGCACTACCTCAAAACCCAGACAGAACAGGGTAAAACGAGACATAAATCAATGACCAACACTTTGAGAAGCAATGACTTGAACTGCACATGTCTTGATTGTTGAGGGACAGTTTTGTTTTTTTTTTCTTAATGGAGAATGGGACTGGGAATGGAAGAGGGAGGAGGAGGTGGGGTGGGAGTGGGGCAGGTATGGTGGGAAGAATCACTATATTCCTAAAGTTGTACTTACGAAATTTGTACTCATTAAATAAAAGGTTTCTTTGGGAAAAGAAAATGGTCAACTAGTATATAAAAGGGGAGGGGACCAAACATACAAAGGAAAATAAAACTTCTGAAATTTCCAAGTAAAAAATAAAACAAAGCTTTTGACAGTCCTGTTAAGGATGTTAAAAATTTGCCTACACAGCTATAATTCTTATAAAATGACTTTCATCAAGTTTTCTAACAAGTGACTTCTTTCTCCACAATAGAGCTATGGTTTCAAATGTCAGTGTGCATCAGAACACCTGCTGACGTACAAGACTGCCAGGTTCAACCGTCAAGAGTTTCAGATTCAGTGTATCCAGGGTGCAGCCCGAGAATCTGCATTTCTAACAAGTTCCTGGGAGCTGATGCTGGCCTGGGAACCCCACTCGGAGAAGCACAATAGACCATCTCTTGTCCTCAATTTCTCAGCACTGCATGAACGGAGGACCATTTCCCAAACCTCTAACCCCCAACTTCTGTTACTTTCCCTCCACTTTCCCCAGTGCTCTCTCAGTTGCTTGGGGTCCCTCAGGATCTTATGCCTGGCTGCTGCTCTTCCACTGAGCGCTTACTGAGCCATCTCCTTCACGTCAAAGTCTTCAGTCACCACTTATACCTGGCGGTTTGTCAGGTCGCAGCTCTCCCCTGTGAGCTACACAGGGGCGGGGTCCACTTCCTGTTCGTGACTTTATCCACGTAGCATAGCAAGCCTGGTGTACGGAATGCGCTCAAGTTTTACCTGCCAACCGGCAACCCAAACTGAACATATCCAGAAAGAAACACATCAAAGATGCTACATCTACTCCATTCTTTCCCTGGCTTTCCAATGGTGCCGCCATTTTGTAAGATCTAAGAAACCCCAAGCTTCCTTGAATTAACACACTGTGTTAATCTCACCTTCAAAACCCCAAGTCCACTCATTTCTCCCCATTCCCATTGCCACTCCCTCATCTAGGCCACCTCCCCCACTCTCCAACTCTCCCTCCTGTAATCTCCACGCCACACAGCAGTGAGCTGAGTCTTTGGATTTCACTCTGCCATGCTCACTGTCAAAGCCTGTCCTTGTCCTTGGAGCCGAGCCCCAGCCCCAGCAAGGCAGGCCAGCTCCTTCCTGCCTCCCCAGCTGTGTTTCAGTCCCTTGCCTCCTTGTTCCACACTCCAGTCATCCCCAGCTTATTTTGGCTCTTGGACCCCTCCTTGTTGTTATTTGTGACCCACGATTCAAGATGTTCCTTCCATTTGGAATACACTCTTCTTTCCCTCCCACCCCAGCTGTTAGCTGGTGAGGTGCCACTCATTCTGATTCCCAACTGCAAATTCACCTCCTCTAGGAAGCCTTCCGGTTCCCTCTCCGAACAAATAAAACCAGGTTACATGAGGACTCCCTGTAACCCTGGGTCTGCACACAGCAAATGGCTCTGCTTGTTGAATTACTTGCTTTATGGGCCTCTCCAGAGACAAGGCTCATGTCCCTATAGAGTGCAGGAAACTAGGGACTCACAGACTCACACTCAGGCATAAATGCCAAAAGAATAGGCCAATGGGTTTCATGGGAGAAAATTTAAAACACATTATTCATTTAATTTAAAATAAATGTAGAGTAAGTTATTTTTCTATGTCAGTAAAACCAAGTAGCAGTTATACCTGAGAGCACACTAACAGGGCAGGGGCACGAGGGGCAGCTCTGGCACAATGGAAATATTCGTTCCCTCGTGGGTAAATCCATCGAGAATGGTGCATTTCACGGATGTAAATCACACCTCGGTGGAAGCAAATACATGATTTCTAAATTACAGTAAAATATATCCGGGGACATAAAGCCTGCAAGGGCTAGGAGAATTTATGTGAGCTATCGCAATGGGACTCAGAACAACCTGATATGGTCTGAACACCCTGTTCCTGCAAAACCTCCCAGATCCGTGCTTGTACAGGAGCCTAAGGGAGCATGCTCACCCCTTGTGCCATGCGAGCACACACACACACACACACACACACATACACACACAGCACCATCTATGAACCAAACAGTGGGCCCTCACCACACACTCAATCTGCTAGCGCTTGGACCGTGGCGTTCCAGCCTCCCAACTAGAAAAGTCAATTTCTTAAAATCACTTAAAAATCACCCAGCCTAACATATTTGTCATAGCAGCCCCAATAGACTAAGATACAACCAATGGCGTAAAACTTCCTTAAGCAGGCTGGTGGTCCTCTTGCGCTCCACAGTTAAAAACAAGAGTGAGGCAATTCAAGTCTTTGTACTGGAAATGCCATTGTGTTAGGTTGAGGATGCCTGCCTTAAATGTGAGGCCTTGGAATATTTTTAGGGCAAGAAATTATTTCTGAGTAATTCTCCACATCCTGTACTAAGACCCCATGTCACCAGGTAGAGAGGTCTCAGTTAACGACAGACGAGGACCCATCAACATGTGAAATATCTTAAACTAAAACAACTGCTGTCTCCAGTCTATATCATTTTTAGTACGATCGCTTTTGCTTCGTGCATTGCATAAGTAGGGAGAGATCCATACCCCGGGCATCTGCACAGCCCCGCCCCAGGGCTTGTGAGGGAGATCCATTAGCAAGCTTGCCAGGAAGCTCAGGATTGCCTAGTTGATCCTAAGACTAGAACACAGATCAAGCAAGCTCAAAATTCACTTTCTAACCAGGACGGGGAAAGACAGAGGGTCTAGGGCCTGGCTTGCTGTTTTATTTCCAAATTAGGAGAAGCTCCGGGTGATCTCTCATGCTCTTGTTCTGATCCAACAGCATCCCCCGCCTCCCCGGGGGCCAGGTAAAAGCCAGCTTTGAAAACACTCAGTGAGGAACACCTAGGGTACCCTGCACGCACCCAAAATAAAGACATCGGCACAGCACGTGGCACTAAACAGCCACTTCCCCCACTTCTGAGGAAGTCACTGCCTCTACTCTGCTGGGTGATGTCCCGACAAAGCTACCTCTCCAGCTTCTACCCTCTACATCACCGTGTGCAAGGTAGATGTATGGACACCTGCTTTTAAAAAGTCCGTGAAAACGGAAACAAAAAGTAAGTTCATTTTGGCGCAAAACAAGTTTGAAGTCCATTCATAGCAGGGGTCTTGGAAAAGTTCTTGAAAAAATGCATATTATGAAAAAACAAGACATGATTTCAAATTTCCTGTACCTACATAAATCTGTCTTGTAACCGCGTTTCCACTTAAAAATATATGCATATACTCCTATCTGTACCATACACATCCTATTTTATATCTCTATACATCAATCATGCTTCCATAACCCTGCCAGCGCCAGGAATAGAAAAAGCCGGACGCGACCCCAGCCATTTCAGGCTGGCGGCGAGGCAGCCCTGTGCCTTTTTTCCTGATGGGAAAACAAGAGGCAGCTACTTGGTAACAAGACAGAAGTCCCCCGGTAAATGCACTTCTTCCTAATCTGGCGCACTCTGCCGCCTTTTCAAAGTATTACCCAACGACACGGAAATCAGCTGATAAAGTTGGGTTGCACAGGGCCATGAGATGGGAGGTGAGGCTGGGAGTGGGATGGGTGACGGCCAGAGATGGAGATGGTGATGGTGGTGGTGGTGGTGACGGTGGTGACGGTGGCGCGCGGCCGGCTCCTCTCCCGTTTCTCCAAGACCATCACTGCCCGTCCTCTCTGCCTCCTCCGTCCCCGCGTGGCCTCTGCCCGAAGAAACAGGATTTGCACCCAAGCCGCACGTCCCCGGGGCGCAAGGCTGCGGCGCCCGGCGGCCCGCGCCCCTGCCCGCGTCGGTCGGAGGGCGCTGGTCGGCACACTCGACCCCAGGATGCGCCCCCGCAGCCATGTCACCTTTCTCCAGCCACAGCACCACCTGTCCCAATACGCTTATCATGTCACTCCCTGGGTAGGGGGATACTGAGAATTCTCATAAGACCCATGGGAGTGTTACGAGTATTCCGCGAGAGTA